AATAGCAGTAGACTCATAGACACTGAGAAGTGACTGGTGGTTACCATGGGGGAGGGTGGGGTTGGGAGAGTGAGAAGGATTAATGGGCACAAACATTATCAATTATAATAGAAGTTGATCATGGGGATGGGGGTACAGCATGGAGACAGAGCCAGTGATTCTGTAACATCTCCCTATGTTGACAGATAGTAACCACACTTTTGGGGGTGAGGATTTAATATGAGTAACTTTTGAACCACTGTGTTGTATACTTGAAATGAACATAAGACTAATATATGAATGATACTTCAATAAAAATTACTTGAAAAATTTTTAAAAGAATGATGTTGGAGACTCTTACTTTAAATCATATACAAAAATCAATTCAAATGTATCAAAGACCAAAATATAACAGCTAATATTTTAAAACTCTTGGGAAAATCTTCATAACTTTGGATTTGGCAATGATTTATTTGATAGGACACCAAAAGCATAGGTGACAAAAGAAAAAAATAGATAAATTGTTCATCAAAATTAAAAACTTTTGTGCATCAAAAGACCCTATCAAGTGACACAAGCATGAATAAAAGAAAATAATTGCAAATCATACCTTTTATAAGGCATTAATATCTACAATACAAAAACAACTTATACAACTTGATAACAACATAACTCAAATTTTAAAAGCACAAAAGACTTGGATATTTTTCTAAAGAAGATATACAAATGGCCAATAAGCAAATGAAAAGATGCTCCACATCACTAATTATTAAAGAAATGCAAATCAAAAGCATATACTATTAGGATGGTTACTATAAAAAAAACAAGACAACAAATGTTGACAAGGATATGGAGAAATTGGAATCCTTATGCATTGATGGTGCAAATGTAATGTAAAATGGTATGGCCACTATGGAAACCAGTTTGGTGTTTCCCCAAAAAGTAACAGAATTACCATATGACCATATTCCAGTTCCTAGGTATGTATCCAAGGGCTTTGAAAGCAGGGACTCAAACAGATACTCTAATGTTCATTGCAGCATTTTCACAATTTGCAAAAGGTAGAAACAATGCAAGTGTCCATAAATAGATGAATTGGTAAGGAAAATGCCATATACACACACACCAGAATAGTATTCAGTCATAAAAAATAGAATGACATTCTGGTACATGCTATTACATGGATAAACCTTGAAGACATTATGCTATGTGAAATAAGCTAGACACAAAGGAGCAAATATTGTATGATTCCAATTATATGAGGTATTAAGATTAGGCAAATTTGTAAAGACAGAAAGTTGATAAAGTAACAGGAGCTGAGGGAAAGAGGAAATAGGGAGCCACTGCTGATTGGTTACAGAGATTTTGTTTGGGGTAATAAAAGGGTTCTGTACCCAATTCCAACATGTGTGCATAGGGTTGGGGATATTCCACACCAACAGGGCATTCTCCAACATGGGTATCCTATAATTTAACTAAATTCTGACATCATCTACCCAAAGATAAGCATTGGGCTCCACAGGTTAAGGGTTTAGTGCCACAAGGCTGCCCCTACTCCTTGTCCCCCCACTTCAGGTGCCAGTCAGAAGTGCAGGTTATCACCTGGGTTTCTGACCAAGGCTATAGATGGCAGGTTGCAATAATCCCCTCCCTCAGGTTCAATTAACTTGCTAGAGTGACTTATAGAATCCAGGGAAACATTTTATGTACTAGATTACCAGTTTATTACGAGAAGTATAACTCATGAACAGCCAGATGGAAGAGATGCAGAGGGCGAGGCGTGGAGAAAGGGCGAATGGTTTCTGTGCCTTCTCTGAGGTCAGCATGCTCCCCAAATCTTCATGTGTTCACCAACTCAGCATCAGTCTGAACTCTGGTTTCATTCCATATGCATGACTGATTAAGTCATTGGCCACTGGCTATTGATTCAATCTCCAGCCCCTCTTCCTGTGTCAGAAAGTGGGGCTGAAATGTCCAATCCTCTAGTCACAGGGTTGGTTCCCCTGGCAACAAGCCCTCATTCTTAGATGCAGTGGGAAAGTCACCCAGTTGATGGATAGGAACCTGCTCTAAATAACAAGACACCTATTTCACCTCTATGGCTCTGAAGAGATTTCAGCAACTGAGGACAAGATACCAAATAGCAGAGCAAAATTCTCCCACAGCTCTAATTGCCCAGGAAATTTCAAGGGTTTTGGGAGCTATGAGCCAGGAACCATGGACAGAGACCAAACATATATGAAAAGCATATTTTGGCCATCTGAATGGCTAAATCTTTATTTCTTATGATTTACATTTTTACATGAATTTATCATTCTTATAAATTACAATATTGCAGGTAATGAAAACATTTGGGAAATCAGAGATATTGCAGGTTCAGTTCCAGATCGCTGCAGTAAAGTGACTCAAATGAATTTTTTGGTTTCCAAGTGCATATAAAAGTTAGGTTTACACCAACCTTAAGTCTATTAAGTGCACAATAGCATTATGGCTAAAAAAAAATGTACATGCCTTAACTAAAAAATGCTTTATTGCTAATAAATGCTAAGCATCATTTGAGCTTTCAGTGAATCATAATCTTTTTGCTGGTGGAGGGTCCTGCCTCGACGTTGATGGCTGCTGACTGATCAGGGTGGTGGTTGCTGAAGTTTGGGATGCCTGTGACAATTTCTTAAAATAAGATAAAAAATGAAATTTTCTGCACCGATTAACTCTTCCTTTCACAAAAAACTTCTCGTAGCTTTCCATGCTGTTTGATAGCATTTTACTCCCAGTAGAACTTATTTCAAAATTGAAATCAGTCCTCTCGAATCCTGCCACTACTTTATCAACTAAGTTTATGTAATATTCTAAATACTTTGTTGTCATTTAGACAGTCTTCATAGCATCTTCCCAAAAGTAGATTCCATCTCAAGAAATCACTCTCTTTGTTCACCCATAAGAAGCAGTTCTTCTCCAATTCATCATTTTATCATGAGGTTGTAGCAATTCAGTTTCAATTCAGACTCAGCTTCTTATTCTCTTGCTGTTTCCACCACATCTGCCGCTACTTCTCACACTGAAGTCTTGAACTCCTCAAAGTCATCTGTGAGGGTTGGTGTCAACTTCTTCTAAACCTATTTCAATGTTGATATTTTGACTTCTTCCCATGAATCATGCATGAATGTTCTCAGTGGCATCTAGGATGGTGAATCCTTTAGAGGTTTTCAATTTACTTCGCCCAGATCCATCAGAGGAATCATTATCTATGGCAGCTATAGCCTTATGAAATGTATTTCTTAAATAGTAAGACATCAAAGTCAAAATGATTCCTTGATCCGTGGGCTGCAGAATGCATGTTTTGTTAGCAGGCACAAAAACATCAATTTCGTACAGCTCTGTCGGAGCTTTTGGGTGACCGGGTGCATTGTCAGTGAGCAGTAATGTTTTGAAAGGAGACTTTTTCTCTGAGTAGTAGGTCTCAGCTATGGGTTTAAAATATTCAATAAACCATGTTATAAACATATGTGCTATAATCCAGGCTTTGTTGTTCTATTTATAGAGTTCAGGCAAAATAGATTTAGTATGATGCTTAAGAACCCTAGGATTTTCAGAATAGTCAATGAGCATTGACTTCAACTTAAAGTCACCAGCTGTATTAGCCCCTAACAGGAGAGTCAGCCTGTCCTTTGACGGTTTGAAGCCAGGCTTCAACTTCTCTCTAGCTGTGAAAGTCTCAGATGGCATCTTCTTCCGACTTAAGGCTCTTTGGTCTTCACAGAAAATCTGTTTAGTGCACCCACCTTCATGAATGATCTGAGCTAGATCTTCCGTATAACTTATTGCAGCTTCCACAGCAGCGTGCACTGCTTGACTTTGCACTTTTCTGTTATGGCAACAGCTTCTTTCCTTAAACATCACGAACCAACCTCTGCTAGCTTCAAACTTCTCTTCTGCAGCTTCCCCACCTCTCTCAGCCTTCATAGACCTAAAGAGAGTTAGGGCCTTGCTCCGCGTTAGGCTTTGCCTTAAGGGAATGTTGTGGCTGGTTTGATCTTCCATCCAGACCGTTAAAACTTTCTCTGTATCAACAGACAAAGCTGTTTTGCTTTCTTATTGTTTGTGTGTTCGCTGGAGTAGCGCTTTTCATTTTCTTTGAACTTTGGCTTTGTGTTTACAGCTTGGCTAACCAGTGCAAGAGGCCTAGCTAGCTTTTGGCTGATTTCGACTATCAACACGCCTTCCACACTAAGCTTAATTATTTCTTAATTATTTGATTTAAAGTCCAACTCTCCTCATTGAACACTTGGAAGCCATTGTAGGGTTATTAACTGACCTAATTTCAATATTGCTGTGTCTCAAGGAATAGGGATGACTGAGAAGAGGGAGAGAGACAGGCAAGCGGCTGGTCAGTGCAACAGTGAGAACACAATGTTTATCAGTTAAGTTTGCCATCTTACACGGGAGCAGTTCATGGCACCCTAAAACAATTACAATGGTAACATCAAAGGTCACTCACTCATCGTGGATCAGCATAACAAATTGAATTGTAATGAAAAGTTTTGAAATATTGTGAGAATTACAAAAACGTGATGCAGACACAGAAGTAAGCAATTGCTGTTGGAAAAATGGAGCCGATAAACTTGCTTAATGCCAGATTGCCACAAGCCTTCAATTTGTAAAAAAACACAATGTCTGCAAAGCACAACAAAGCGAGGTGCAATAAGATGAGGTACTGGAATTAGGTGGTTGTATGACACCGTGAATGGAATTAATACCACTGAATTAAACGGTTAAAACAGTATGTTTTATGTTATATCACCACAATAGATAATTTCAGTTGTCTTACCACAATAGAATAATTTCAAAAAACAAGAAAAGTATATAGCTGGGAAGTGAAAATTCCAGCTCACATCGCACCCGTAAGATTTCTGTACTCTGCTCAGAAAAAAAGTAAAAGGAAAAACAAAATATAGTGAGGACTGTTAGTCTGGAGGAAAAATAATTTACCACGCCTCTGAGTGGAAGTAGAAGTCCCAGAAAGAGCCAGTTTCAGTTTCTGACAGAATGGTGAAGGATGCTGCCTGCCCGGAGGTCCCCGCTGCCAGTCTGCACCGCCGAGCATGAACTGGCTGTTCCCGCCCTTCGCACTGGTCTTCTGCCTCGGCCCAGGTAAGCGCTGAAGCAGACCCGTGTGGTCACTGAGTGACTCCCTGGTTTTGTGCAGCTTGATCGGTCTCAGTCACCTGTGCACAGGTGTCTGTCTGTCTCTCTGCCAGGGGACCAGGTGGGGCTCACGGTGGTGCCGGATGAACAGCCACCCTCTCTCACCTTAGAATGCTAAAGCCTTGAGGCGCTTCAGAGTCAACAGCTTCAGCTGAATCTGCATTTAAAGCCTGTCTGCTGGGGCACTGGAAATAACCTTTTGTTGTGGAATCAAGATGTAGGATTAGGAAAATAAGTCCTCTTATGAAATAAGCTGCTCTCTTGCTGTGTGACCTCAGGTGGGTTACTTATTCTTTCTGAGCCTCACTATCCTCTAAAATATTGAAAATCTATGGATCGGCTTAGCCAGAATTTCTGAGCCCAACTAAAACACTAGAAATAATCCTCTGAATTTTTGCTTACTGTGAAAAAAGAATTCTCTAGCTCTCCCTTCCTCTGATGCAATTCAGGGGCTTGCTAGTCCAGCAGTTCTTTATATGGGAGAGAGAAAGGAATTCACTGGTCCGGCCTCCTCATTCCCCGCTATCCAGTACATGGAAAACTAAAGGTTCATGTTGTGTTTGGGGAACCACAGGTGATCCACAGGGGCCAAAGTATAACATTTAAGGTCAGATGGGGCAGGAGATGAGAAAGAGAGGTAAGCCCACAACCAGCAACAGGTAACAGATAAAAACAGCTAATATTCATTGAGGACTTACCCTGTTCCAGGTGGGCCGAGTGCTCTATGCACATTAATATCTAAGCCTCATGAGAGCTCTATGAGTTTGTGCTATTTTTTGCCCCACTTTCAAATGAGGAGCCAAGATAATTTAAATAACTTGCCCAGTTTTCATCATCCAGCAGGTGGCAAGCTATTGCAAATAGTTCTGAGTGACAACTGAACAAACATGGCAGCAGCGCAAGAGAAAGGACAGAAAGGAGTGTCACCATAGATGTGAAATTAACTAGACTAACTGGCAATGGGAATGAGGGGAAAGGAGAACACACTCAATAAATACTCATTGCCTAGCATTGTTCCTGTTTCTGGGGATGCGTCATGAACAAAGCTGGCAAAAATTCCTGTCCTCGTGAAGTTAGCATTTTAGCAGGGGAGACAAGCTATAAACAAGATGAGTAAGTGAAACAGTATATTGGATAGCAATAAATGATAAAGAGGAAATAAACCAAGCAGGGAAAGGGGATTTGAAGTGCGGTTTAAGGGGCAGTAAACTTCAGGTAGTGTAGCCAAAGGAGGTGACAAAGTTGAGGGGAAGAGGGAACAGCCATGGAAAAGGTGAGTTCAATTTTGGACCTACTAAATTTAAGCCATGAGGAGACTTCCTGAAAGCACCTGGAAGTTTAGGACTAGAGGTAGAGCCGAGGACAAAGGCTTCTAAGTCATAGCATGCAAATAGTAAGTGGGGCTAAGGAGAAAAGCAGAAGGATGGAACCTTGGGAAATACCTCTAAGAAGAAGAAAGAAGAATTCATTCATTCATTCAACAGTCACTCCCTGACCTGGGGGCAGAGCCCCAGATCTTTGCCTCACTCTTAGATCCCTACACAATTAAACCCATCTTTAGAACTCAATATTTTGAATGTCCTTAGGTTAAAATTTCTCTGCTTCTCCCGGATACTTCCCATAAGGACGCTATGAAGTACACGCTGTTCCCATCCCCACTTCAAGGAAGAGGAAAGAAGACAGCAACACTTTAGAAACTTGCTTAATGTCACATCATTATGATGAGGTGGGGTGTGAAAATACAGCCCCATGAATAGTGTAGAAAAAGAAACATACTTGAATGAGTTTGCAGAGGCTCTGAAGCCCAGGAGGAGAGCAGTGATGGCCAAGGCTGGAGAACAGGAAGCCTGGCTCTGGAATCTGTGCTCAGTACTACTTCACTGCCGCTACTTAAGTTTACACACAGCTACACAGTTACATAAATGCATCTCTAATTACAAAGTGTGATGCTAGGAGGAAAATAAGCAGAGTTAAATGGGAGAGAACACATGGGCATCTGCTTCACCTGGGGTGATGTGGAAAGGATTTTCTGGAAAAGTAGCATCTCATCTGATAATTTAAAGGGTGTGAGAAGTCCAACAGGGGAGAAGTCTAACAAGAATCACTGTGGAAGCAGAGGGAATCACATGTGCAAAGGCCCTGAAGCCAGGAAGAGTTTGGATTGAGGGAAGAAAAGAAAAACATTGTAGCAAGAACGCAGCACAATCAAAGTCAATCTTGAAAACAAGCATGAAAGAAGATAACTCATGCCAGCCCACGTTCTTTCCAGTGGGTCAGACACAGTAACTTGCTCCTTTTAGAAAATTAAGCTGAAAAAATAAACCAGGTTGAGAAGTAATCCCAATATGTACAACTGAAATCAGGCAACATTATACCCTGGAAACAATGAATTTCATTTGTTTCTCCATTTCATTCTTTCTAGATAGGAATTTGTCAAACATTAATATGCCTACAAATTACTAGGGAATCTTATTATAATGCTGGTTCTGGGATGGAGATTAAGATTCTGCATTTATGAGCTCCTAGGTAAACAGAATGCTGCTCCATGGACCACACTTTGAGTAGCAAGGTTCTAGATGTCATGAGATGCTAGTCAAATTGGGGTTGGAGGGAGGGAGAAATAGGAACTATTTTTTTAAAATGTGTTTGCAGGAAGCAAATAGCAGTAATTCTGATGTCCAGGAGAGAAGAGTGGTTAGACATATAGGCAAAACAGATACATGTGGGCTAGTCAAACTATTCTGAGGTTTTGAGTCAAAACCTTACAGGCTCCTCTGCTAAACAATTGTAATCTAATGACTCCCTTATCACTCAGCAATGTTATTTTATTCTTACAGACTACCCATACCTTCAAGTGTTTATAGTTGCTCACAACAGGCAAAGAATCATTTTACATTTTGTCATTATCTTCAAGAACAGCTGTGACTCCCCACCTCTCAGAATCTGCAGTCTCTCCCCCTGTAACCTCTAACCTCCAGTCTTCCATACCTCTCAATTTTCAGCCGCTTACTCTATGTAGACAGCCTCAGCTATGCCTCCATCCACACTCAGACTTTTTTTTTTATTTCATTAAGGTGAAATTTACAAAACATAATAATTTCAAAGTGTACAATTCAGTGGCATTTAATAAATTCACAAAGTTGTGCAACCACCACTCATTTCAAAACATTTGCACCACATGAAAAGAAAGCCCTGTACCCGTTAAGCAATCACTTCCTGTTTCTTCCCCCAGCCTCAAGAAAATATACTCACCTGCTTTTTGTCTCCATGGGTTTACCTATGTTGGATATTTTCTATAAATGAAATCATACAATATGTGACCTTTTATGTCTGACTTCTTTCACTCAGTACATTTTCAAGCTCCGTTCATGTTGTATCCTGTGTCAGTACTTCATTCCTTTTACTGATGAATAATATTCCATTGTATATATGTACCCCATTTTCTTTATCCATGTGTCTCCAGATGGACACTTGTGTTGTTTCCAACTTTTGGCCATTGTAAATAGTGCTACAATGAAGATTTGTGCACAAGTATTTGTTTGAGTGCCTGTTTTCATTTCTTCTGGGTATATATCTAGGAATGGGATTGCTAGATCGTATGAAACTTCTATGATTAATTTTTTGAGGAGTTACTAGTTTTCCATAGCGACTGTTCCAGTTTGTATTCCCAACAGCAATGAACATTTCTCCACATTCTTACCAACACTTTTTTTCTTATCCTCCTCCTCCTCCTTCTCCTTTTTCTTCTTCCCACAATTCTAGTAGATATGAACATTTCTCATGTGATTTTGATTTGCACTTCCCCTAATGAATAATGATGTTGAACATCTTTTCATGTGCATATTAACTATTTTTATATATTCTTTGGAGAAATGTCTATTCCAGTCCTTTGCCCATTTTTAATTGGATTATTTGTCTTTTTGTTGTTGTTTTGTAAGAGTTCCTTATTAGACCTTTATTAGACACATGATTTACAATTATTTTCTCCCATCTGTAGATTGTCTTTTCATTTTCTTGATAATGTCCTTTGATGTAAAAATGTTTTAATTTTTATTAAGTCCAATTTATCTTTTTCTTTTCTTTTTTTGCTTATGCTTTTGGTGTCATATCTAAGAATCCCACTACTAAATTCGAGGTTATGAAGATTTACTGCTATGTTTTCTTCCAGCAGTTTTTTAAATTTTAGCTCTTATATATAAGTGTGAGGTAGAGATCCAACTTCATTCTTGTACATGTGGATATCTAGCTATCCCAGCATCATTTGTTGAAGCAACAATTCCTTACCCACTGAATGATCTTGGCACTCTTCTCAAAAATCAATTGGCCATAAATGTATAGGTTTATTTCTGGATTCCCCCCAATTCAGTTCCATATAGACAACTATGTGTCCATCCGTATGCCAGCACAAGATTGCTTTGATTACTGTGGCTGTGTAAGTTTTGAAATTGGGAGGCGTGAGTCCTCCAATTTTGTTTTTCTTTTTCAGTATTGTTTTGGCTGTTTGAGGTCCCTTGCATTTCACATGAATTTGAGAATTAGTTTTTCCAGTTTTGAAAAAAGTCACAAAGAGCATTTGAGTTTTGATAGGGATTTCATTGAATCCATAGGTTGCCTTGGGTATTATGGCCATCCTAATACTAAGTTTTCTGACCCATGAACATAGGATGTCTTTGCATGTATTTAGGTATTCTTTCATTTCTTTCAGAAATGTTTCACTTTTTAGTATATGTCTTGAATCTACTTGGTTAAATTATTCCTAGATATTTTATTCTTTAGATGTTATTATAAATGGAATTGTTTCCTTAATTTCCTTTACAGAATGTTCACTGCTAGTATGTAGGAATACAACTCAGTTTTGTATATTAATCTTCTATTCTGCAACTTTGCTGAACTCATTTATTAGTTTTGATGTCTTTGATGATTTTTTTACGGATTCTTTAGGATTT